CATGATGAACACTGAATTCATGACTAATAACATTTATGCACAAGTGAAGGTTATCTAACACACAAACATATCTTAAGCACAACATAGCTATATGGGAACCCTACACAGCACTTCTGCACTGTAATTGAGGGCCATTTTACATAGCAAAATTATTAAAATGCACAAAAATGAGAAAACAAAATGGCAAGGCACACCAGACCTCAGTGGGAGCACTCATACACGTGACTCACCTGATCAGAAATGAACATGAAGTCACCACAAACATTAATTTCTTGGGTTACAAATAAGTCTGAGGAAGTAATGCAGTGTGAAATTATAGACTCTTCCAATGCATATAATTAGGTATCAACTGTATTTTGTTTTAAAAGTAGTTCAAATAAAATCAATAGGCTGAAAATGAATGCACTTAATATTAGTCTGAAAATACTTAGATTTTCATCCAGATAATGTAGATTATTAAGAGTATATAAAATCAACTATGGTCCTAAAATTTTCCGCTAATGTATTTTAAAGAAAACATTCTCTTATACCCCTACAATCTTGAAAGAAAACTCAGGATATTGGTTCTAAACCTCTGCTACTTAGCTTCAGGTTCCTGCAGAGCTCAGAAGATAAACTCAACTTAGGTAATTAAGTATTTTCAGGAGTTTTCCAGTAATACTGCTTTATAAAAAATTAATTAGCTGAAACTTTCAGGTACTAATTCAGTACTTTAGGTATGTATTTTGTTTTTTACTATCTTTCTGTTTGCTGGTATTTTTATATAACTAAGAGGAAATCTGACTAGTATTTCTATATTAGTCTTCTAAATAACTTTTATTTCAGTTCTTCCTAAGTGATACATTTACAGAACTCCTCATATCTGTACCCTTCTTCTTCTCATCGCTAGCTGGCTGCTAAGCTGATGAACAGTGGTGTGAGAATGAACGCCATTTGCCCGGGCTTTGTCAACACACCCATCCTTCAATCCATTGAAAAAGAAGAAAACATGGGGCAGTATATAGAATACACTGGGTATATCAAGGACATGATGAAATGCTACGGAATTTTGGAGTAAGTAAAGCTACGATGTCTTCATTCCCACCATGGAGTAAAGTACTCTCTAGACAAACAACAAAAGAGAAAAAATAAGATTTCAGATATGCGAAACTAATGTAAAATTCAAAGTCTGCGTTGGCAAATGCTCTGAAAGACAACAATTGTCTGGACTAATGAATACAACATGTTTACACATTATAAATTTTATTTAAAATATGACAATGCCTTCTTCCATCATCAGGTTTTTTTCTAAAAAATGATTTTTAATCGCCTTTAAGAAAAATAATTTTTCTCCCTGAATTCTAAGCAAGACTCAAGTATAACCCATGAAATTTTGTATAGTTCCATAACGTCTACCATTTTCATAAAAACAATTAGTGTTTATACACACACACACAAACATACACATGCACACATGCACACACAGATGTCTTTGGTGTGTTGGATCTGAGAGTAGTTGAGAATCACAGCACAGAATCATAGCAATTATGTTAAATGAATCAGACCTAGCTTCAAGTCCTGTCTCTACTACAGACCTTAAAAGAAAAAAAATTTTAAATCTTATATTCAAAGGACTTTTTAAAAAAGATGATATATGAAGTATACCTTAAATAGCAACTTGTGAAAAATATGGTATTCAATAAATGCTATTTGTAATTCATATTTCTTCTAATAATAATTCTGATAACTCTAAGATCTACTGATTTGATAAAGATGAAAAAATAATTATTTTCTCAGTAAAAATAATAATCATAAATACTTCCTTTCAAAACAATAAAAGATCAGGCATGGAAATGTACCACCATATTTATCATATAATTTAGGTTCTAACTGAATAAAACTGAAAGGTTAAAAATAACTTAATGAAAATTATTTTCCTATTCAAGATTGTAGATTCTTCAGAAAATAATTAGAAATGATAGCATGCCTCATTATTTATTTTCAAAATTCCAATGTTTCCTTCATTTGTAGTCCATCAATGATTGCCAGTGGGTTAATAACACTCATTGAAGATGATGATTTGAATGGTGCCATCATGAAGATCACAACGTCTAAAGGAATTCATTTTCAAGACTATGATACAGCTCCGTCCTTTGCAAAAGATAAATGAACATGTTAGATACCAGCAGTAACTGAAAATGAATGCAAATGACTTATATTAAATACGTATTTTCACTGAAATGTAGCTCTTTAAATGAAATGCTACAGCCTGAAGCTTTCCTTCCTACAGCTGTTAACTTTTTCTTTATAAACAGATGAATCTACAGATAACAATTTATGATAAACTAGCAAAAGTATAATGCAAACCCAAACAATGTTATTGTATTCAGTATGATCTAAGTAATGATTAAAACAAAAGACGTTTAAAGAATATTCTACTTTTCAGAATATGTATTTAAATCTGTGATTCATGAATATTAATGTTTTTAGAAAATCATTTTAAAGAAGATACTTGAATTGTTATTTAAACAGATGTAAAAAGGAGCTGTGTTTCTGCCTTTGCACTTCAAAATAGGGAAGCTACTGAACAATGGTGAATGTTTAGGAATAATTATCTTTACTTTCATCATCTGTAAGCGAAACTCTTCAAAGATATGACATAGTTCAGGATTAGTAGTTAAGGAGTAAATTACAGTGTGAAAAATCTGAGGTAAGGAAAAATACAGAAAGTAACCCACTGGGACTGTTAAATCCAAGTTCAACCTCAAATTATGGAAGAACATTTTTTCCTCTTTGTCTTTTATTTTAAGAACTTTATCTCCAAAAATCTCAGGAATGAAGTTTTTAACAGTTATAGAAAAAAAAAGATTGTTAGTCCTTCTAACATTTTATATGTAATATATGCTCATTAAGAAAAATTGCAAATGTAGTAGTTTTTCTTTTGTTGACAATATTTTTTGTTTTATTAGTGAATATGTTATGCAGAATGTGTGCTTCATTTTACCATATTTGTACATGCGTATTACATAATTTGATTATTTTACCTCCATTTCTCTCCTTCATTCTGTTTCCTCTTCTCTAATAGTCTCCTTTCTACTTTTCCCTCATCTCTAATTTTTTTTTTTAAAAAAAAAAAGGAGAGAAAAATATGAAATTTGACTTTTTGAGTCTGGCTTATTTTGTTTAACATTTTTTCATACTATTTCTATGTTGATTTGTACCAATTTCAAAAATGCTGATATTTCAATAAAAGTACTTAATTCTAAGCTCCATAATTTGCTTAGTCTTTTATGTGTAGCAATTGAGATGAAACTGATTTTTCCACAGCAGCAAAGTATTTTTTTCAGCTTTAATTGAGTTTATTGGTACATTTTAGGGATACAGTACAGTTACATTCATTGTTGGGATCTTGTACCACTACATGACAGGTCTTGGTTCTCATTTTTCCCCTTGTCCCTGTGCTCTCTTCACAAACCCTTTCTTCCCATTTCACAATGTCAGTCATCTTACTAGGATCTTATGTATTATTACAGTTTATTCACACCAGAGAAACTATTCTGTATTTACACATGGGTGACTTATTTACTTCACTTAGGAGTATATCTTCAATATGTATCCATTCTCCTATGAATGAATCTATTTTCTCATTCTTTGGGGCTGAGTAATATTCCATTTTATAGAAAAACCACATCTTCTTTATCCAGTTTCCAACTGATGGGCAAATGGGCTGTTTTAGCTATTACAAACTGTGCAGCTATAAACATGGGTGCACATACATCACTGTGATGTGATTCTTCTAGTTCTTTTGGAAAGATGCCCAGCAGAGGGATGGCTGGGTCAAATGGAACCTCCAGTCCAAGCTCTTTGAGGTATCTCCATATTGATTTACACAGTGGTTGTACCAGTCTGCACTCCCACCAACAATGGAGAAGGGTTCCTTTCTCCCCACAACCCCACCAACATTTGTTATTGTGTGATTTCTTGATAGCAGCCATTTTTTGTGGGGTGAGGTGGAATCTCAGTGTTGTTTTCATCTGCATCTCTCAAATGACCAGTGATGTGGAGCATTTTTTCATATATTTACTGCTGCTTTTACTTGTCTGAGAAATGTCTGTTCATTTCGGATGCCCATTTTTGAATCGGGTCTTTATATTTGGGGGAGCTGATTGTTTTGAGTTCTTTATATATTCTAGATAATAGTCCTACAAAGCCACTGTGATAAACACAGCATGGTACTGGCAAAGAAATAGGCCTGAGGATCAGTGGAACAGATTGGAAGACATAAAAACAAATCCAGATGTTCTCAGCTACCTCATCTTTGACAAAGGAGCTGATCATCCTCAGTGGAGGAAAGATAGCCTCTTTAATAAATGGTGCTGGAAAAACTGGATTTCAACCTGCCACAGATTAAAACTGGACCCTTATCTTTCACCATGCACTAAATTAAAATCCAAGTGGATTAAAGATCTAAACATTAAAATAGAAACACTAAACTTGCTGGAAGGTTAAGTTAGGCAGAACTCTGGAAGACATTGGCATAGGAAAAGACCTTATGAACAAATCCTCAGTAGCACAGGAACTAGCAGAAAAAATCAACAAGTGGGATCTCATCTTATTAAAAAGCTTCTGTACTGCAAAAGAAACCATCAACAGAACTAAGAGACAACCTACAATGCGGGAAAAAATTTTTACCAGCTGCTCCTCAGACAAAGGACTATTATCTGAAAGTATTTTTTATATTATTGAAGTTCATAATGACACAGAAGTACAGTAATTGTGAAGTTTTGTCCTTGTTACCATTAGGTACCTTAAGATTCATTGAATGCACCTGCTTTGGGTAATAAGCTTCACAGGATTTCCAAAATCAATGATTTCCTCAAAGAAATACTGTGGAAGTGACGCACTCTTCCTGCTAGGATCCAGGCTTTCTAGGTTAGAGCAGGATCCATCCATGTGAGTGGTAAGAATTTCCAAGCAATCCTGGAGTACTACAACTCCTTCTGGTTTAATTCTGCTGTACAGAACCACTGCCCTGCCTTGTCTTTTAGGAAGAAAATTGAATATGAAAAACTAGTTTAGAGTTTCATATAATGTATTTGACATAGAACAAGAAATAAACATCCATGAACATCTTATGAAGATGAATTATAATTGGGCACAGTATTTTTGCACCCATCAGTGAATGACAGGTAAATTCAGCCAGCTGTGTGGCCAGCACAGGAGGCGGAGTTAGCAAGGCACTTCAGCCTCCCCACATAGCGTTCCGTTGCTGCCTGATCATGCTGGAGCACGATGCAATCAAATCATGCAAAAATCATTAAAAATCACATCGTAATGTTAAAAGTTTACCATTTTGTGGGTCTGCACTGTTAGCGGCCCAAGCTGCCTGTGGCCCATGGGCCTTTCACCTGACAGTGCACTGTACGGGGCTGTTTTGTTCTTCAGGTTAGGCATGCTGAATGCCCTTGCTGTAGTAGTTTCAGCTCGGTATGAACGCATCGGGGCGTGACATTTCTAGTTCCATAAGCGATTGCACTGCCCGTCATCAGATCGCCTCACAGGCCTCTTTGTCAGCCTTCCTTTGTTTATCATTGCAAATAAGACATCATCCTCCCTCCCGATCTTGACTCACCTTTTCTCACTGCTCTCCTTTCTGATTTCAGTGTAGTCTCGCAGCTTCTCTAAACCTCGAATATGCCCATCTCCACCACCGGGGCCTTCCTACTCACTGTTTCCTCTGCCCGGAATGGCTCTTTCCATATATTGTCAAGATTAGCCTGACTCTAACAGCTTCTTTGATTTGGCTCCCTGTTTCCACTTGGAATCAACCACTTACCTCTTCTAGGTGATAGACACCACCCTTATTTTTTACCTATCTAGGGGTGTTTCTCCTAGTTGTTTCTTTCATTTTGTTTTCTAGTTGATTTTGGTTTTTCTACTAGACAATGACGTAATGGAAGCTTTGATTCTACTTTCCAGCTAGTCCTAGCCAATAAAAGAGTACATGGGACCCGGTGTATATTAAATAAATATTTGTCAAATGAATGAATGAAATCTCCGTTAAATGGCTAAAGTATCCTATATTTTCTTAAAAGAAATGTAAATGTCCTAAGCCTGAGAAGTTAATATAGCCATTCTTCTTTGCATCTATCAGGTGACTTATGGGAACCTATATCTGAGTCTAAGGACCACACTGTAAGAGGACTTTGGAAATCTAGAGTTGAGATTTTATGTTAAGACAAAGGAAGAAACACAAAATTCTGAACACTTGGAATTGTCATAAGAATTGATACATAGTTGTCTCCTAGGTACAGAACTATGAACAAGTGGGGGTGAAATTAGGATGTCCCAAGTTGAAATCCATTTTTCCTAGATACAGAAAATGCATTGATCATTGAGATGATTGAGAGCATCAGCGACCTACTAGGCTGCTGTGCACAGAATTCCTGTATAAGAAAAAGGAACAGCTAAGTGACCTTGAAAGCTCTTTTGACATTGCCTCTTTACTGTTCAGTTTATATGAAGTACATATGACTCATAATAATACTTTCCCTAATCATAAAGTATCATTCTGATATTCTTGCCCTAATTTGCTTTCTCTCTTTTTCAGATGTCTGTCATGTCCAAATCATTTAGTATCAAGTGTGTTGGTAGGTATGACTTCAGCCTACTGTGTTGCTTCTGTTCCATCGTTTAACTCCAGCCACTAGCCAGGACCTTTTAAAGGGTCACTGTAATGCTGGGTAAATCCAAGGTTCATTTTATTCAGATTTTGTGGCAAAAGGCTTATGAAATGTTGGCATATTAATGTTCCATTCTTTCTATCCATGGAGGTATGGGTAAGGGTAGAAAGATTTCTTATCAGCGAGGATGTTTTGAACATCAAATAGTTTTCCTAAGTTGCTTTCACTGTCTTTATCTGATGATCCTAAACTGCTATGATAAAATTTATCTTTTTCATTATTCCTATATCTTATCAGTAAGGTTATGATGTGAACAACAGACAAAAACATGAAAGTTTTATGGGCGAACATGCTGCATTTGAGGTTTGTTAGACAAAATCAGAGAGTCAGATCTTGATTGTTTAGAATCTTAATTTTTCCAGCCCTTTTGCTCTGAACAACTTCTCCTGCCCACTGTTTTCATGACATTTTACTCACATGTGTTGCATTTCTTTGTATTGACTCTGAAATCCCCATTTGTCCTAGTCTGTTGTCTGTAAATACTTCTGCTGGTATAATTTACCTAACTCATGCCTCTAAACCCATCACCCTCAGAACAAAACTTCTGTCTTCTATTCCTAGAGACATGAAGTTCAGACCTCCAGCCAGACATGCCAGGAGTTTCACAATCAGACCCTGATTTACGATCCTGGACTTATCTGGACAACTCC